AGTAATTTCCCCCCCCCATATAATTCACCCCCCTTAATCACCCCCCATAAGTAATTCATCCCCCCAAAAATAAATTTATCCCCCCAAAATAATTCAACCCCCAAATTTAAATTTACCCCCCCCATAGTAATTAAACCCCCATAAGTAATTCAACCCCCCTAATAATTTTATCCCCCCTAATAATTCAACCCCCAAGAAATTTATCCCCCCTATAGTTTAAATTTATCCCCCCATAGTAATTTTATCCCCCAAAATAATTCATCCCCCCTATAGTAAAAATTTACCCCCTTTGTAAAAACATACCCCCCTAGTAATTCATCCCCCATAATTAAAATTTATCCCCCATATTTTAAATCCCCAAGCCCCCCCTTTTTGTCAATTCACTTTCCTTTGGGGTCCCCCGCCCTTCCCCCTTTGCCGTTCCGTGTAGCATAAAAACTGTCTCCTAGAGGGTCTTCCCCCTCGGCTAACGCGCATGTGCCAGTTTCAGGCCTTAGCAGACAATACTCACGGCACACTAGTGTGCCGCGGCACAGTGGTTGAAAAAACTCTGGTCTAGCCTATAGAGAGATGAATCGGGGCGTCGCCAGAAGAGTGAGCCCGATACATGATGAGCTTACTCCTAAATTTTCAAACAACTGTGGAACTGGATCCACAAATGATATGGTAAGGCCGTATATTTTATACGCCTAACAAATGGTAGGGGACAAAAACAAAGAGAAGGGTGTTTAAGAAGAGAGTGTGTAGTTGGGGGGGAAGGGGGGGGAGGGGCCTAATATTCTGCAAGATATCCGGAGCCTAATAGGTGGTCAGGGGAGTGGGTCTAATATTCTGCAAGTCATATCGGGCCTAATAGGAGGAGAGATGAATTAGAAGAGAGATAAATAAAATCAAGAAGGATGGAAAAATTACAGTTTATAACATATAAGTGAATGGGTTGAATTGCCCTGGGAAAAGATTTAAGTATGTTTAAAGAGTTACATCATAGGGCAATGTCAGTGGTACTATTTGGCAGGAGACACATTTTGAGATAGAATCTAAATGTGAAACTGAAATCCAAAATATTATCCTACATGGTATTACGCTGACTCTCCAATTAAAAGAGCAAAGGGGGTGGCAAAGGGTGGCAATAGGATTGGCAAAAAATATGAGATTTGGAGTTGAAGATAGAAGGACTGACCCGGAAGGGAGATTCCTGTTTTTGAAGAGTAGTGGAGTAAAACTACAGGGTAATTGAATGCACCACTAGCCAATATATATTGCCCCAACAAGAAACCTGAGATCTTTCTGAAGGGTTGGGGCTAAAAAACGTTGATTAGATTTTTAAAAAGGGCGTTTGGATAATAGCAGGGGATTTGAATCTCTGTATGGACCCACAAATGGAGTTTACAACCTCCCTTGTGCAGAGAGAAGGGGGTTAGGTCCTTGAGAGCTTTGAGGAAGGTGATCCACGAGTACCAGCTGGTGGACACCTGGACAATAATGCATATGAAAGGACAGAGACTATACCTTCTTCTCTAATGCACATGAGATATACTCGAGACTGGATTACATTCTAATAGATCATACAACTCCATTGAAATGCTGGTTAAAAAATAGAAATAGAGACAAGAACTTTTTCGGACCATGCCCCAGTCGTAATGGAAATGGGGATGGGGAAAAAAGGTGACGGAAGGTTTTTTAGGATGGAGATTCATTGAGGCTCTTCTCTTGGATGAGGATATTGTGCAGAAGATCAAGTGAAGAGATTAAGGTATATTTCCAGGAGAATGAGACAGAGGAAGTATCGACAGCTAGGACATATGGAAAGTCATAAGGTATATATAAGAGGAATCCTGATTGCGATGGGAGTAAGGAAGAAAAAAGAAAGAGAGAGAGAGGGTTAGTGGACTCTTAAAGGAAATCCTGGAATTGGAGCAGATACATAAGAAAAAAATAACAATAGAACAAGACAGAAGTTAAGGGATAAAAAAGACGAATTAGAAAGATTTGGTGGAAGAGGAGAGGAGAAGAGTATATAATAAAGTATTAAGTGAAAGATATAGATGGGGTGATAGACCAGGAAAATATTTAATGAGAGCCCTGAATAAGAAGAAGAACAGGAATTTATATAGAAAAGATAAATAAAAAGCCCTAAGGGGGGAGATAGTCCACTCAACTAAAGAAATCATTAAAGTATTCACGGAGTATTATAGAAAGTTGTATAACATCAGCCACCAAGGAACATCAAAAGAAATTAGAGAAGGTATTAATGAAAAAAGGAGGATATATTTTAAAAAATGCGGGATTGCCAAAGCTTAGTGAAACACAACTGAACTCCTTGGATGCAGAAATTTCTCAGGAAGAAATAGAAGCAGCATTAAGAAGTACAGGGGAGGGAAAAGCCCAGGCCCGGATGGTTATACTGTTAAGTGCTATAAAAAATTTAGTAAGTACTGGTACCAAAGTTAAAGAAATATATGAATGACTTGGGAGGTGGGAAGGAGGGGAGGAGGGAATCCCCTTCAGGCCCATGTTAGTTCTCATCCAAAAGGAGGGAAAAGATCCCTCTCAGTGCTCTAGTTACAGACCAATTTCATTATTAAACACTGATACTAAGTTGTACGCAAAGGTCCTAGCAAACAGGCTGAAAGATCTAATGCCCGAATGGATCCATGGAGACCAGGTGGGCTTTGTCCAGGGGAGAGAGGGTAGAGATAATTGGTTTGAGAACTCTGATGCTTATACAGAAAAGTAGAAAAGGGAAAGCCCCGGTGGTGCTCTTGTCAATTGATGCCGAAAAGGCGTTTGATAGAGTGGACTGGGGCTTTATGATGGACAACTTGGAAGTGTTGGGGATTGGAGAGAGAATGCGTGAATGGATAGGTAAACTATATAAGGAGCCCACCGCAATCATCACGGTAAATGGGGAGAGGTTGGAATTCATTGGGATTAGAGATGAGCGAAGAAATGAAAAATTCGATTCGACTGATTCGGCGAATTCGTGGACAATATTCGATTCGAGTCGAATAAATTCGCTGTGAAGTTAACTTAAAAAAGGGTGTTTCTAGGCTTCAGAGAGACTTAATATTAGTGCAGAACACTGTACCTTTAATTTAAATGCCCTTGGAGTCTGCTGGGGAAGAGAAATAATACTGTCACTCAGTATGACATGCAGATGAGTGCCGTCGATCTTAGAATCACCGCACCACTTCACTCATTTGGCCAGTCACGGGGCCAAAACCAGTGTTTGGAGCCACAGTGTGGCGGTGGAGGCAGCAGCAATGGGAGGCCATACAGCAACCTATGACAAAATGGAAACCAGCAGGAGTGTGAGGAGACCTCAAAGTGGCACATGGCAGAGTGGGAGCAATGGGAGGCGGTACAAGGACCCATGTCACACTGTGGACCCAGCAGCAGCGTGACGAGGCGGTACGGGGGCCCATGGCAGATTTGGGGCCTGGCAGCACCTATGGGAGGCCTGTAATCTGCCAGCAACCTATGACAAAATGGAAACCAGCAGGAGTGTGAGGAGACCTGAAAGTGGCACATGGCAGAGTGGGAGCAATGGGAGGCGGTACAGGGACCCATGTCACACTGTGGACCCAGCAGCAGCGTGACCAGGCGGTACGGGGGCCCATGGCAGATTACAGGCCTGGCAGCAGCAATGGGAGGCCCGTAATCTGCCAGCACCCTATGACAAAAAATGGAACACACCAGCAGTGTGTGAGGAGACCTGAAAGTGGCACATGGCAGAGTGTGGCGATGGAGACAGCAGCAATGGGAGGCCGTACAGGGACCCATGAGAGACTGTGGACCTGGCAGCAGCATGAGGAGGCGGTATAGGGGCCCATGGCAGATTAGGGGGCCTGGCAGCAGCTATAGGAGGCCCGTAATCTGCCAGCACCCTATGACAAAAAATTGAACACACCAGCAGTGGTGTGAGGAGACCTGAAAGTGGCATATGGCAGAGTGTGGCGATGGAGACAGCACAATGGGAGGCCGTACAGGGGACCCATGAGAGACTCTGGACCTGGCAGCAGCATGAGGAGGCGGTATAGGGGGCCCATGGCAGATTAGGGGCCTGGCAGCAGCTATGGGAGGCCCGTAATCTGCCAGCACCCTATGTCAAAAAATTGAACACACCAGCAGTGTGAGGAGACCTGAAAGTGGCACATGGCATGAGAGACTCTGGACCTGGCAGCAGCATGAGGAGGCGGTATAGGGGCCCATGGCAGATTAGGGGCCTGGCAGCAGCTATGTGAGGCCCGTAATCTGCCAGCACCCTATGACAAAAAATGTAACACACCAGCAGTGTGAGGAGACCTGAAAGTGGCACATGGCAGAGTGTGGCGATGGAGACAGCAGCAATGGGAGGCCGTACAGGGACCCATGAGAGACTGTGGACCTGGCAGCAGCATGAGGAGGCGGTATAGGGGCCCATGGCAGATTAGGGGCCTGGCAGCAGCTATGGGAGGCCCGTAATCTGCCAGCACCCTATGACAAAAAATTGAACACACCAGCAGTGTGAGGAGACCTGAAAGTGGCACATGGCAAAGTGTGGCGATGGAGACAGCAGAAATGGGAGGCCGTACAGGGACCCATGAGAGACTCTGGACCTGGCAGCAGCTTGAGGAGGCGGTACAGGGGCCCATGGCAGATTAGGGGGCCTGGCAGCAGCTATGGGAGGCCCGTAATCTGCCAGCACCCTATGTCAAAAAAATTGAACACACCAGCAGTGTGAGGAGACCTGAAAGTGGCACATGGCAGAGTGTGGCGATGGAGACAGCAGCAATGGGAGGCCGTACAGGGACCCATGAGAGACTCTGGACTTGGCAGCAGCATGAGGAGGCGGTATATAGGGGCCCATGGCAGATTAGGGGCCTGGCAGCAGCTATAGGAGGCCCGTAATCTGCCAGCACCCTATGTCAAAAAATTCAACACACCAGCAGTGTGAGGAGACCTGAAAGTGGCACATGGCAGAGTGTGGCGATGGAGACAGCAGCAATGGGAGGCCGTACAGGGACCCATGAGAGACTCTGGACCTGGCAGCAGCATGAGGAGGCGGTATATAGGGGCCCATGGCAGATTAGGGGCCTGGCAGCAGCTATGGGAGGCCCGTAATCTGCCAGCACCCTATGTCAAAAAATTCAACACACCAGCAGTGTGTGAGGAGACCTGAAAGTGGCACATGGCAGAGTGTGGCGATGGAGACAGCAGCAATGGGAGGCCGTACAGGGACCCATGAGAGACTCTGGACTTGGCAGCAGCATGAGGAGGCGGTATATAGGGGCCCATGGCAGATTAGGGGCCTGGCAGCAGCTATAGGAGGCCCGTAATCTGCCAGCACCCTATGTCAAAAAATTCAACACACCAGCAGTGTGAGGAGACCTGAAAGTGGCACATGGCAGAGTGTGGCGATGGAGACAGCAGCAATGGGAGGCCGTACAGGGACCCATGAGAGACTCTGGACCTGGCAGCAGCAGCATGAGGAGGCGGTATATAGGGGCCCATGGCAGATTAGGGGCCTGGCAGCAGCTATGGGAGGCCCGTAATCTGCCAGCACCCTATGTCAAAAAATTCAACACACCAGCAGTGTGTGAGGAGACCTGAAAGTGGCACATGGCAGAGTGTGGCGATGGAGACAGCAGCAATGGGAGGCCGTACAGGGACCCATGAGAGACTCTGGACTTGGCAGCAGCATGAGGAGGCGGTATATAGGGGCCCATGGCAGATTAGGGGCCTGGCAGCAGCTATAGGAGGCCCGTAATCTGCCAGCACCCTATGTCAAAAAATTCAACACACCAGCAGTGTGTGAGGAGACCTGAAAGTGGCACATGGCAGAGTGTGGCGATGGAGACAGCAGCAATGGGAGGCCGTACAGGGACCCATGAGAGACTCTGGACTTGGCAGCAGCATGAGGAGGCGGTATATAGGGGCCCATGGCAGATTAGGGGCCTGGCAGCAGCTATAGGAGGCCCGTAATCTGCCAGCACCCTATGTCAAAAAATTCAACACACCAGCAGTGTGTGAGGAGACCTGAAAGTGGCACATGGCAGAGTGTGGCGATGGAGACAGCAGCAATGGGAGGCCGTACAGGGACCCATGAGAGACTCTGGACTTGGCAGCAGCATGAGGAGGCGGTATATAGGGGCCCATGGCAGATTAGGGGCCTGGCAGCAGCTATAGGAGGCCCATAATCTGCCAGCACCCTATGTCAAAAAATTCAACACACCAGCAGTGTGTGAGGAGACCTCAAAGTGGCACATGTTTGAGGCATGATTCATGGCGGATTTAGTCAGTTGTGTCAGGAACTGGTGGTTTGAAATCCAGACTAATCCACGCCTGATTCATTTTCACAAACGTGAGTCTCTCCACACTTTGGGTGGACAGTCGTGTCCTCCGCGGAGTTACAATACCTCCTGCCGCACTAAACACGCGCTCCGATGCCACGCTACTGGCCGGGCATGACAGCCTTTCAAGGGCAAATTCAGCTAGTTGGGGCCAAAGGTCAAGTTTCGTTGCCCAGTAGTCAAGGGGATTGTCTACCTCGGTTGGCAGGGTGCTGTCCAAGTAGGCCCAAGCCTGTTGTTTGAGGTCCTGCTCCAGGTCCACCTGATGCTGCTGCTGCTGCGGCTGGTTAGTAGTTTCCTCACTGCGCTGGTGAAGAAAGCTACTCATCATCGACTGCAGACTGAGGCAGCCGCTGCTGGTGGAGCTGCCACTGCTCCTACCACCCCACCCCTCCTTTGCTGCCATGGCAGCGGAACGCGAGCGCACAGGGCCCACAGTGTCTGAGGATGGACGTTGGCGCACAAAGGCAGAGACCAACTGACTACATAGGTGGTTTTTATAGTACGTTATTTTTGGCCTCCCTCTCAGCAGGTGTGAAAAAGGCCACCATTTTTGAACGGTAGCGAGGGTCCAACAAGGTGGACAGCCAAAAGTCATCCCTCTGTCTGATGGTTCTTATTCGGCTGTCGCTACGCAAGCAACCGAGCATGCTATGGGCCATTTGTGCCAAGGAATGCGAGGGACTCCCTGCCTCCATCTCCACAGCATACTGCCACGGTGCGTCTGGGTCCTCTGTCTCCTCCTCCTCTACCAGATGCTCCTGCTCCTCCACTCCTGTCTGCTGAGTGGAAAAACCACCCATTTCACTCAATAATTCCTGAGCACCAATGTCCTCCTCTACCTCCTCCTCTTCTTCCTGTCCTGCCCCCACAGGGTCATGTGGCGTTGAGATCTGTGCGCCACGTCTACCGCACCCTGACCAGCCATTGTTAACAGCATTTGTTCCAGGACGTGCAACAGAGGAATGACGTCGTTCATCCCATAGTCCTGCCGACTCACGAATAGCGTGGCCTCCTCAAAGGGCCTGAGCAAGCGGCAGGTGTCACGCATGAGCTGCCAATGGCTGACATCGAAGTTACACAGGGGAGTACCTTTATCCGCTTGTAACATCAGGAAATCGGTGATGGCCTTTCGCTGTTCGTAAAGGCGGTCTACCATGTGTAGGGTTGAATTCCACCTTGTTGCAACGTCGCAGATCAGGCGATGCTGTGGAATTCCGTTCTGCCGCTGCAGCTCAAGGAGGGTGTGCTTTGCGGTGTAGGAATGGCTGAAATGCATGCAAGGTTTACGTGACATTTTAAGGATGTCTTGCAGTGGGATGGTGGATTTTAGGAACCGCTTGACAACCAGATTGAACACGTGAGCCATGCATGGCGCATGGCACAACCTTCCTTGACGCAGAGCAGACACCATGTTCTTTCCGTTGTCGGTCAACATGGTTCCGATTTTCAGTTTGCGCGGAGACAGCCATCTGTTGATTTCTCTGTTCATTACACTGAGAAGTTCCTCCCCTGTGTGACTACGTTCGCCTGGACCTGGCAGCAGCATGAGGAGGCGCTATAGGGGCCCATGGCAGATTAGGGGCCTGGCAGCAGCTATGGGAGGCCCGTAATCTGCCAGCACCCTATGTCAAAAAAATTGAACACACCAGCAGTGTGTGAGGAGACCTGAAAGTGGCACATGGCAGAGTGGGCGATGGAGACAGCAGCAATGGGAGGCCGTACAGGGACCCATGAGAGACTCTGGACTTCGCAGCAGCATGAGGAGGCGGTATAGGGGCCCATGGCAGATTAGGGGCCTGGCAGCAGCTATGGGAGGCCCGTAATCTGCCAGCACCCTATGTCAAAAAAATTGAACACACCAGCAGTGTGTGAGGAGACCTGAAAGTGGCACATGGCAGGAGACACTGTGGACCTGGCAGCAGCATGAGGAGGCGGTACAGGGGCCCATGGCAGATTAGGGGCCTGGCAGCAGCTATGGGAGGCCCGTAATCTGCCAGCACCCTATGACAAAAAATGGAACACACCAGCAGTGTGTGAGGAGACCTGAAAGTGGCACATGGCAGAGTGTGGCGATGGAGACAACCCACCGACTGTTTTGCTCGCTGCCAAGCTGCCACCCTCTTCTCCTGATGATGCGGAAGCAATAGCCTGATGACGACGAGGCTGCCAAGTACGATCAGCCTCATCATCATCAATTAGGGTCTCCGCCTCACTACTAGCCCCCTCGGCTGCGTGTGGGTCAGGAGACAGACCTGTCTCTAGACCGGCTACCGAGCCACTCTCCTCGCCACTACTTCTTCGCCTGGCTGCTGAAGAGGCGGATGTCTCCCCCCGTTCCTGACCGCCCTCTGTTAGCTCTTCCTCACTGTACTGGATGACACCGGGAGCACTGGCCTCTGGCTGCGAATAGTGCTGCCTCGACCCCTTCCTCTGCTGCCACGTCTGCTCGCTCCTAAAACATTGCCTCCTCTGCCACTCCTCTGCATGTTGTCTGACATACTCTTTAATTCAACGATTCTGTGTCCCTGAGTAACAATTCTGTGTCTGTCCCTGAGTAACAATTCTGTGTCCCTGAGTAACGTTTCTGTGGCCCTAAGTAACAGTTCTGTGTCCCTCAGTAACAATTCTGTGTCCCTCAGTAACAATTCTGTGTCTGTCCCTGAGTAACAATTCTGTGTCCCTGAGTAACAATTCTGTGTCCCTCAGTAACAATTCTGTGTCCCTGAGTAACAATTCTGTGTCCCTCAGTAACAATTCTGTGTCCCTCAGTAACAATTCTGTGTCCCTCAGTAACAATTCTGTGTCCCTGAGTAACAATTCTGTGTCTGTCCCTGAGTAAGAATTCTGTGTCTGTCCCTGATTAACAATTCTGTGTCCCTGAGTAACGTTTCTGTGGCCCTAAGTAACAATTCTGTGTCCCTCAGTAACAATTCTGTGTCCCTCAGTAACAATTCTGTGTCCCTCAGTAACAATTCTGTGGTCCTCAGTAACAATTCTGTGTCTGTCCCTGAGTAACAATTCTGTGGCCCTAAGTAACGGTTCTGTGGCCCTCAGTAACAATTCTGTG